GCCCAAAGTCAGGCTTGTCAAGATTACCATGATACGTGAGTCTGTGCTGTTATAACAACTGTTATTATTCATCAATATGATAAAAACCTTCGATTTCTTCCCTGTAAATAATGTATTATGTACACACCTGCCAAACTGTCAATAGTAACCTTAATTACCAAGCCCAAAGTCAGGCTTGTCAAGATTACCATGATACGTGAGTCTATCATGTTATAAATAACGTTACCACAACCATAGCGAGTCTCTCGCAGACTCTCTATCATGCCTTAATTTTTGTTAGGGTATTTTAATTCATACATATCAATAAAACCTTCGATTTCTTTTATAAGAATGACGTATTATATTTTTACATACCACATTCATATCGATTATTAATAGTAATGGATTCATTTTACCCATTTACATGCTTCGTGATAAATAATTTTTGATTTTTTCCTATGAATGACGTATTATGTATTTTCAATACCACAATAATATCGATTATTAATAGTAATGGATTAATTTTATCCTCTTAAATGTTTTGAGATAATTGTTTTTTTTTCCACAAATGCAACGTAAAATATTCCAATCAACATTATTATTTGATTTTTGTTCCCACCCAACAGTTCCCCCGGTGGGGGTTACAATCATCACCCCTACAGTGGGGGGCCTGGCTGGGGTAGCGGGTGTGGTAGGGGTTGTGGCGGGGAGGGAAGGGGTACTGGTGTGCAGGGGGGAGGGGAGCATTCCCCCCGCTGACATCACCTGGTCCCCCAGTAGCCTGGTCGCCCCGCTCAGCTCACAGGTAAACATTATATCAGAATTTTTTTATTCAATCTTATTATTTTCGTAAAAAATTCTGCAAATTGTTGGTGAATTTCTAGCGTTTAAAATTATATTTTAATTATAATAACAGCGTCAGCGTTGGATATTTGGCCGCCATGTTTGGCCAATAACTGAATTTTCTGTAAAATCTTCCTACTTTCGTAGAAAACTCTCTACAAATTGTTGGCAAATTTATAATTGTTGAAAATATATTTTAATTATAATAGCGGCCTCAGCGTTATATATTTGGTCATGTCAGATATTTGGCAAATTGCTGAATTTTTATTCAATGTTCTTACTTTTTTGGAAAAATTTTTTTAAATTGTTTGAGAATTTCTAATTGTTGAAATTATGTTTAATTATAAAAGCTGCGTCAGCGTTGGATATTCGGCCAATCCCTGGATTGTTTGTTCAACCATATTACTTCCGTGGAAACTTTCTTCAAATTGTTAGTGAATTTCTAATTGTTGAAATTATATTTTTATTATACTCGTGGCGTCAGTGTTGGATATTGGGCCATGTTTGGCCAATCGCTGATTCCAAAAATTATGGAATTTTCACAGCCAGCTAGACCTCGAACCCACATGTAAAAGTAAATCCTGAATATTTTGTTCAATCTTCCTAATTTCGTGGCAAACTTCGACAAATAGTTGGTGAATTTCTAATAATTACTTTATAATATAATCATTATAGTAGTATCAGCGTTAGATATTAAGCCATGTCTGGCTATTCAGTGATTAAAGACATTGCGTTAACTTTTACGGCCAGCTAAGTCTCGAAACCACAACTCACCATTCTTATCTTGGAGATAATAATAACTTTGACACCCAAATCATTTTCTATTATTTCTCTGAATAAATTCACATAATTTAAAAAAATATATCTTGTGAAACTTTATGTTAAGTATCACTGAATGGACAATTTTCCAATTTTTATTGTCACAATAAAAACCGCAATCACTATTCCTCGAATTTTTATATCAAACATTTTTTTAAATAAACCTCAGACATCAAATTTAAATCACTTTAAATTTAAATACAAGCATTGATTTCTGTTTCGAATTCCATTCAATTTTTGAAAAAATTTAAACAAAGAAGATTAAATAAATAAATATCACTAAATATTCGCACCCAATGGCCCCATATATATCCCTGCAGCCCACAACGGACCAGCAGGCGACCGTATCCCGCGCGCGTATCCTGGCTACGGCGGCCGACGACGGCCGAGTCGTGACCTGCACGGCCACCAACCCCAGGCTGCCACTGTACACGGTCACGGCCACGCACACGCTCCAAGTCAAGTGTACGTCAGCGATATGATCATAAATCATCATTATGAATGTCTTATTGTTATATAGTAATAGGTTTAATGGACCTAATAAATTCATAATAAGTTACAATCATCATCTAAAGCTGCCGCTGTACACGGTCACGGCCACGCACACGCTACAAGTCAAGTGTACGTCAGCGATATGATAATAAAACATTATTATGAATGTCATATAGTAATGAATTTTAATGTGTTAAATGAGCGTATAGTGAGTTACAATTATCAACTAAAGCTGCCGCTGTACACGGTCAGCGGCTGTATACGAGAAAGGAGCACAAGCCACAAGTCAAGTGTGCGCTAGCGATATGATTATAAAAATGTTTTTAAGCGCGTGTTTATCATATAATAATAAGCTTACCACGTGTAAGTATAGATATGTTAGAGATTATTACAGTTTTATCATCCGTTAGCAATATGATCATTAAACCATATTATGAGTCATGTAATTTTAGAATTGTAGGTTTTAATATATTCAGTTCCATAAGCCTAGGAGAAGACGTTAAAAATATGATATTATCGATATATTAAAATTCATTCAGAAGTGATTAGTAAATAAAGGGGTTCAATATATTGCATACCTTAGCATCATGTGAACAAAATTATTTACACGAAATATTTAAACAGAAATTATCTTGCTAATTTTCAAAATAGAGAGAAAAAGATTATCTGCCGTTATTCAATTTTTATTCTGTCGTGATTATGAACAAATTTTGGTTTTCAACTCTCAACGCTACACATGCCAGCCGCGCCTAACCAGCGCTTTTTTCGCATTCCTTGCACAAAACATTTTCTGAAAATTAAAATTTCAAGTAGTTGACATGACCGATGTTGACAGCGCAGTCTAATACCGTGCTTTATTTTCCGTTCATTTATCATCATTACTTTATCCTGATACGATATATTGCTGGGGAAAATATAGTTACTCTCTGGCTATTCATTATTATTAATATTAATTCATATTAATTAATGAATAATATTGAAAGAATTTTATTTCCACTCATATAACCCAATTTTAAAATATATTATTCTTTCTAGTGATACAGGAATTAACAAGATATCATTTCATTTTACGCTACGCAATATTATAAGATTTTATTCTTTCAATAATTTACGTTGAATGTTAGTTTCTCAGCTATAACTTCAGGTGCAGGGTAACGTAATATCGCAAGAGATTTTCTCGCACAAAATAAACTATCGCCGATACTGCTTCCTTGCAACATGCGTAGTATCGCAAGATCTTATTCAGTTATACGTAGTATCGCAAGATCTTATTCAGTTATACGTAGCATCGCAAGATCTTATTCAGTTATACGTAGTATCGCAAGATCTTATTCAGTTATACGTAGCATCGCAAGATCTTATTCAGTTATACGTAGCATCGCAAGATCTTATTCAGTTATACGTAGCATCGCAAGATCTTATTCAGTTATACGTAGCATCGCAAGATCTTATTCAGTTATACGTAGCATCGCAAGATCTTATTCAGTTATACGTAGCATCGCAAGATCTTATTCAGTTATACGTAGCATCGNATATCCGCAAATTTTCGATAAAGATATTTAAATGTGTTTTTTGAAGGATCCTTGTTTTGAAATGGATCCTGTAATCACGTTGAACTTCTGTTATTGACATCGTTATTGACTGTAGCGATAATTTTTGTTCTTTCTTCTTTGCTGTAGCGAATCATGATGAAAATTTAAGGCTTGATAATTAAACACAAATTTAGCAAGCTATACAGGATAATGACGTAACTATGATACAATATTACCATGAAAATGTTCTTCTTTTAAATAAAACAAGTTTCAACTTCATAACGTTCTTAGTTTTTTATTTATTAACAAATTAAAAGGGTTACTTAATTCTGAAACACCCTGTACATACGTAACAATTAATTAAGTTATTATATTGCACTGATTTATAATGATTAAGACTTATTATGAAGGAATTTTCATTTGTAGAGTTACTAAGTTATTAGTTAGCACAAGCTTATACTACAAAGGCTAATTATAATAGTTAATACATATTTTATACTAATATAAAATATTATATTTTATGCCAGTACATTTCATACAAGTTAATTACGTAACTGTAAAAACTTGGTAATAATACTAGTGCATGTATAATTTTTATTAATACTCGGTAATAGTGCAAGTGTTCATACAAGTTAATAAGTTTGTGTTACTGCAAGATAACAACGTTCTAGCCAATACTAGGAAACGATGTTGGTACTGAAATAAAGTAAAAATATTATTATGATGTTTGTGTTGAAATAAAGTAAAAGAATTATTATGATGTTTGTGTTGAAATAAAATAAAAATATATGATTTTTTGTTAATATAAAGTAAAATTTAATATGATGTTTGTGTTGAAATAAAGTAAAAATATTATTACGATGTTTGGGTTGAAATGAAGTAAAAATATTATTATGATTTTTGAGTTGAAATAAAGTAAAAGGGTTGATGTTTATGTTAAAATAAAGTAAAAATATTATTGTGATGCTTGTGTTAAAATAAAGTAAAAATATTCTTATGAAGTTTGTGTTGAAATAAATTAAAAACATTCATATGATGTTTGAGTTTAAATAAACTAAAAATATTATTATGAATTTTGTGTTAACATAAAGTAAAAATTTTATTATGATGTTTATGTTGAAATAAAGTAAAAATTTTTTTTGGTTGAAATAGAGTAAACATTTTATTATGATGTTAGTGTTAAAATAAATCAAAATATTATCATGATGTTTGGGTTGAAATTAAATAAAAGTATTATTGTGGTGTTTGTGTTGAAATACAGTTAAAATATTCTTTTAATATTTGAGTTAATATGAAGCGAAAATATTATTATTATAAATGCGGTGGTAATGCTGCATGGTGCTGCAGGACTCGGTGCTGCATGCTGGCGACCGCGTGAACACATCGCGCGTGCTGCTGCACGGCCGCAGCCTCGTGCTGCAGAGCGTGACGCGTGACGCACGCGGCGGGTACGCATGCGCCGCGCATAATGCGCTCGGTGCGCGCACCAGCGACCCTGTCACGCTGCATGTCATGTGTGAGTGAGGGTGCGTTATACGTATTTTCACCAGACAATCTTTCACATTATATTTAATATTTTCAGATATTACTGGCTCAAGTTATACGTAATATCAATAGATATTATTCGCATCCATTATTATTAATTAATATCGCAAAATACGATTGTACGATTGCGATTGTACGATTTACATTTAATATCGAACGATATTATCCTTCCGCATTGAATGTTTGTCCCTCCGCGTTGAATGTTTGTTCCTCCGCATTGAATTTCTGTTCCTCCGCATTGAATGTTTGTCCCTCCACATTGAATGTTTGTCCCTCGGCATTAAATGTTTGGTATAAACATTTGCCCCCTCCCTCCCCAGACCCGCCCATGGTGACGGCCCGTCTCGCCCCCGCCCTGGACCCGTCGTCCATCAAGGAGGGCGACGACGTTTACTTCGACTGCGACGTGCAGGCGAACCCGCCCGTTACGTCCGTCCAGTGGCTGCACGGGGTCAGCTTATATAAATATTATAATATTATATATATTATATAATAATATATAGTACAGTATTACATGAATATTATAATATTACATTATATATTATATAATTTTACAATGATTATTACCTTCATATAATTGTAATTACCTCTACTCAAACTTTACTTTACCTGTCCACGAGAAAAGTTTTGCGAAAAACTCTCAACTGACCAACATTTAACATACAGGGTGTTTCAGAATTAAGTAACCCTTTTAATTTGTTAATAAATAAAAAACTAAGAACGTTACGAAGTTGAAACTTGTTTTATTTAAAAGAAGAACATTTTCATGGTAATATTGTATCATAGTT